TGAAGAACGGAGATTGACCCCAGGCGCACCTAAATATGAAGCCAAACCCATGCCGCTCACTAAGACCTGAAAGGAAATCTTGTTACATCCATAAGGGAGAATTTAAAGTCCCCCTGAAAGGAAGAAACTTAGGATCGTCTGATGAGTGGTGCGATTATCATCAAGGGAAAGGTCATGATACTGAAGACTGTAAAAACCTTCAGCAAGAGATCGAGGACGGTCTCAAAGCCAGAAAGTTCAAAGAATATATGCGTAAGGCTGGAAGTAGTGGGTCGAACTTCAGAGGACAACGCAACCTGAAATGGAAGAAGAATAACACCAAACAGCATCCCCCTAAGGCTGAGGCCAATACCGCCAAAAAGGTAGAGGATGAAGCTCAAGCACAGAAGATCTTAGCTGCCCCCTGTGGGTGCTATCTTAGGGGACTGTCTAGCCGTCCAGAGTCTGACGGCGATCAAACGAGATACACGTCCATGCCCCCTGGAGAAGGCGAAGGTCGTAGGCTGACTGCGAGTGAAGAAATTACCTTCTCCGACCAAGACATCGTCCTTAATGCAACTGAGGGCTCGGATGCATTGGTCATCAAAGCAACTGTGGCCAATCAAGAAGTGTAACAAGCGTACGTGGATAATGGGAGTTCTGTGGACATCATGTACTACGACTGTTTCCAGAAGCTGGGCCTAGATCGAACTATGCTTCGTTCGGCTCCCACACCATTGGTAGGTTTCTCCAACCATGTGATTATGCCTTTAAGTGTGATTACTCTCGCTGTGATTGTAGGCACTCAGCCCCAGGTGAAAACCGTAATGTGTGACTTTGCAGTGGTGGACGTGGTCACCCCTTTTAACATTATCCTAGGATGACCATGGATGTGCAAGACCAGGGCTGTTTACTCCCCCTACCATCTGGTGACAAAGTTTCCCACTCCCGCGGGAGTGGCTGAAGTCCGAGGAAACCCACAACTTACCAAGCAATGTATGGTCGTCGCCATGAAGAAGGAAATGAGCTGCTATTAAATAGTTCAGAGGTGAATGTGGTTCAAGGATTGACTTCCGTATTGCCTATGGAGTAGGTGGAAGAAGATCCTGTGGAGGGTGATATTCCCCTCGATGGAGAGTACGATGTGGTTCCTGTCAACCCATATGTGGAAGGCCAAGTGATACAACTAGGACGAACTTTACTGTCCAGCCTTTGCAAAATGGTGGTCCACTTGTTGCAGGAGTATCAGAAAGTATTCACTTGGGAGCCATCGGAAATGACTGGGATCCCTACCGAATTGGGTATTCATCGCCTTAATGTAGATCCCGGTGCGCGACTAAAACTAGAGGAAGAGGAAGATGGCTCCCGAAAGAAGCACGGCTGTGGATGTTGAAGTCGCTAAATTGTTGGCCACCTCCGTGGTTCGGGAGATTCTCTATCCAACCTAGCTGGCTAACCCGGTGATGGTAAAGAAGCCTGATCTATCATGGAGGATGTGTGTAGATTTCACCGACTTGAACAAGCATTATCCGAAAGATTGCTATCCCCTGCCCGCTATCGAACAGAAGGTTGACGCTATAGCTGGATACCTTGTTCTGAGTTTCCTCGACGCATACAAAGGGTACCATCAAATCCTAATGGCCAAAGGGGAAGAGGAGAAGACAGCGTTCATTACAGATCGCGGCATATACTATTATGAGAAGATGCCCTTCGGTTTAAAGAACGCCAGGGCTACTTATCAGAGTATGGCAAACAACGTGTTTCCGACGCAGATGGGGCGCAATATGGAAATCTATGTTGACGACATGGTAGTAAAGAGCACCCGGTTCTCAGCTGTTGTCGAGGACCTCAAAGAAACCTTTGAAACCCTACGCCAGGTCAACATAAAGCTGAACCCGAAGAAATGTATTTTCTGTGTAGGGTCGGGAAAGTTCCTAGCGGTAATGGTCTCTCAACGAGGAATTGACGTGGATCCCAGCCAGGAGAAGGCCGTCCTTGACATGAGAGAACCGCGGTCGCTGAAGGAAGTCCAGAAATTGACCAGGTGCATGGCAGCGTTAGGACGTTTCCTCTCCAAAGCCGTGGAGAAGTGTCTTCCCTTTTTTAAAGTATTGCAAAAATCCAAGTCTTTCGAATGGGACAATGAATGCCGGTTGGCCTTCTCCTAGCTGAAGGAGCACTTAAAGTCTCTCCCTACTCTTACAACTCCCAAGTCGGGGGAGTTCTTGTCCCTATACTTGGCCGTGGGGGAGACCACCTTGAGTGCAGTCCTCGTCCATGATTTGAAAGGCAGGCAGTCGCCATTCTACTTCGTCAGCAAGGCCTTACACGGGGCCGAAACTAGATACACCTTGGTTGAGAAGGTGTTCTACTGCCTGGTGGCCGCAGCCCGAAAACTTAGGCCATACTTCCAGGCCCACACTATCCGGGTCCAAACGGATCAGCTGATACAGCAGGTGTTAAGTAAGCCGGGGATCTCTAGAATGATGTCGAAATGGTCAGTCGAATTGGGCGAGCATGACCTCAGGTATGAGCCAAGAACCGCCATTAAAACCCAGGCTCTGGCTGACGTTTTGGTAGAGGTCCCCAGAGAAGAGACCCCAGAGGACGAATCCGCGGAGCCCTTGGCAGGTGTCTGGCAGCTTTATGTTTGACGGGTCATCGGCTAGCTCTGGGTTGGGGGCTGGTCTTATCCTAATCGACCCCCATGGATCAGAGATCACTTATGCCCTTCGGTTGGAGTTCCCGACCACCAACAACGAGGCCGAGTACGAGGCTCTCATAGTTGGCCTTAAGCTGGCTCATGGAATAAAGGCCTCCTCAGTTCTGTTTACAGCGACTCTCTGGTCGTCGTTAACCATGTGCTGAAACTATATGAAGTTCGCGAAGCATCATTGCAGAAGTACCTGGACGAAGTTCGAATATTGGTGGGTTATTTTGTCGAATTCAAGATTCAATACATGCGCCGGTCGCGGAATAAAAAGGCTGACACACTCAACAAACTTGCCTCGTCCGCCTTCTCCCACCTTACCCTGCGAGTCCTTGTTGAAACTCTTCCTCGACCTAGCGTTGAACTCAAAGAAGCCTTGGCTATGGAAGGGGAAGAGGCTGAATGTTGGATGACTCCCTTTATTCGGTACTTGAAGGATGGAGTATTGCCAGAAGGCCCTAAAGAAGCCAAGAAATTTCGTCTCAAAGCACCGAAGTATGTGCTCAGAGAAGGCATCCTCTATAAGCATGGGTAGCTGTCACCTATGTACCGCTACGTGTCCCCAACAGAGGTGGAGCTGTTGATTTGAAGCATGCATAAAGGAGCCTGTGAAGCACATTTGTGAGCTAGAAACTTGTCAAAAAGATTCTTGAGGACCGGTTACTATTGGCCGACCATGGCTCAAGACTGCTACGAACTTATCTTAAAGTATCCCCAGTGTCAGAAGCATGCCCCCATTCCTCGACTGCCTCAGCATGAGATGGTCCCCATTGACAGTCCCTGGACATTTTACAAGTGTGAGATCGACATCCTTGGACCCTACACTACTTTTCTAAGAGGGTTGAGGTCAAGCCTCTAGCATCGACCTCGGGGGAAGCAATGACTCAATTCTTCTGGAAATACATTGTTTGCCAATTTGGAATCCTAAAGGTGCTTATCTATAATAACAGGACGCAGTTCGAGTCCGGAACTTTTCGTCGATGGTGTGATGAGATGAACATAAAATGGAGGTTCATGGCCGTGGCTCACCCCCAGGCAAATGGGCTTGCAGAAAACATAAACATAGCCATACTAAGGGGTATTAAGAAGTGCCTGGAAAAAGCCGGGGGCGGATGGGTTGACGAAGTACCTCATGTCCTATGGGCCATCCAAACTACCATGCGCACCGCGACCGGGGCTACCCCCTTTTCCTTGGTTTACGGAATGGAAGCAGTGATACCTGGTGAGATTGAAGTGGCCAGTCCATGTACGGTGAGCTTCATCGAAAAAGGGAATGATGATATGACCTGATTCTGCTTAGATTTCCTGGACGAGAGGAGAGATTATGCCAAGGCCCGAGAAGCTCGCTATAAGCAGCAGCAAATGAAGTACTACAATGCACGAGTTTGATGCCGGGACCTTGCTGTGGGAGATCTCGTCCTCCGAAGGAATGATGTGAGTCATGCATTGCCTGCTGGAAAGCTCTCTCCTAATTGGGAAGGTCCATATAAGGCCGTGGAGGTTTCTCCCTCGGGAAGTTACAGGTTGCATACGTGCCATGATGACCCCGTCCTCCTACCCCGATGGTGGAACATCCAGAACCTTAAAAAGTTTCATGTGTAGCCCTTGTTCGGGAGTGCACTCTTTTATTTACCTATCTTTTTGACGGCGTAGCATAGGAAAGGCTCCACCTCTTGTACTCTTAACAATATCATTTGGTCGATAATATATCTATTCGCCCTCCCAAAAAATACTTGTCAAATGTAGGAATTAACAAGTCGTACGACCCCAAGAGCGGTCGACGACCTGTGACCGGCAAGTCGGACGACCCCAAGAGTGGTCGATGACCGATGACCGGTCGCAGACCGGCGCCTTCGTCCAAAAAGGCTTTGTCTTGGACTTCTTAAGTCGGATGACCCCAAGAGTGGTCGATGATCGGTGACAGGTCACAGACCGGCGCCTTCGTCTAAAAAGACTTTGCCTTGGACTTCATAAGTCGGACGACCCCACATCATACACATCGTTCGGCGATTAATAAAATCATACACATCCCTCACAAATATGCAGTCCTACATCGTCGTCCTACACAAACGTCTGACTAAAAGTTAGAATAGAACAGCCGGAATATAAAGTACAACATAAATACTTGGTAAATATAAACAGTTAGAATTTTGGGGTTTTCTTCGCAAAGTTTACAGCCGGGGTCGAGATTCAAAATACTTCTCGAACCTCTGAACAAAAATAAGCAACAACTACCCCCAAATTAATCATCCTAGTAGGTACGACCTAATTCATAGAATAAGGCGTCGTCTTCATATATCTTCTTCTCGGCTTAAGCGGTCGGAGAAACATGCGTGTCTTTCATCGCTTCGCAACCATCTGGCCACTGCGCCTCTGGGTTAAATGTGCCTCCCAATTCTATAAAATCGGAGACAACTTGCTGTAAAGCCAATGTTAGGCGATTCTCATAGTCTCTAAGACTATCAATCTTCTCTGATGCCTTGTCCCACCTAACGGCAACTAAAGCATACACCTTTTGAAGATGAGAAAGCATGCCCTCATGATAATTCCGGGGTATGAAATCCTCCAGATCTGGTGTGGTTCGACCATTATTCCTCTTTTGTTTACGGAGCTTGGCCTCAACTTGCCTAAGCCTCTCGCTGTTCAGGTTATCCATCTTCACGGCATTTTTGAGATGGTCTTCCCAATACCGTTCTTGATCCTCATTGAGTTGCCAAAGATTCGAGGCCTTGACTTTTAAGTCGGAGATAATTTTCTTAGGAGCCTTCAACTCTGTCGCATGGATTGCACGAATAGTACTCCGAAGTTCACCTTCAAGAATTGGCAGTTGTTTCCCTTCCTTTTGGAAAGAGAACCTAGCAAAAATCTTCCCTATGGTCGAATAATAGGGATAATTCCCTGGGTTGAACTCAGGCTCGGGCAACGTAATGTAGACGTGAGGAATTCTCTCGCCAACTTGTTCCTCAGAAGTTGAGGGAATATTGATATAAGTTGCGCCAGTAGTAACTCCGATGTCGACCTCAGGTGTTGGGAATCCCTACATCCACGAAGGTCGATGTCAGGATTTTAATACAACCACAAATGATTAAATATAAATAGTTGAAGCCATAGAATACAAGACGAGAATAAAAATGACTTGCATCCATAAAAGTCAAAGTCAAAAACAACTTCAACTCGAAAACCTAGAACAATCTATTACACCAAGCCTCAACACTACTCGGTGTTCACCTCGAAATCTTCAAAGCAACCCGGGAAGGACTCAGTCGTGTTGGTCCTTGAAGTTGTCGTCCCAGTTGCGTCTCCTGACGGCAGATGACTATCCAAGGAATCTCGATGTCCCTGCTCGACTGCGACATCATGGGACCCGGAGGCATCTCAGCAGGAGATCCTACATTGGCAGGCATGTTGTAAATGAATGACGGTCCTGCGGAAGTGTTCAAGAGGTCGACGGGAGAAGATATGTTGGGCAAAACCTTCTCCATCTCCTTGAAGAAGTCTTGGACACTCAAGTCTGCGTCCCGGAAATGCTTCCTTGTCATTAACCGAAGTCGAATACCCACTGTCGTTCCTCCCGAGAGCCTATCTGCGTATTTCTCCAAAATGGGCTTAATATCCTTCCTATCCTTCAAAGAGCCTTCGACCTCCCGGGCTAGTTCCATCATCCCTATCTCAATGGCAGGAACCATTACTTGGTTGATCCCATCAGCAAAAGAGCTCGATTAGAGATATACGCGGAGAGCTGCGAAAATATACTTCTCCAGAGAAGTCTTGGGGATACCAGCTTTTTTCATCTTTCTTATGGCCTCCTCATGGGCCTTCGTCTGCTCCGTAAAAACATCAATCGCAGTAGTTGATTGATCCTTCCACCACTGAGTACATTCCTTGCCTGCTCCAATTCAACCTTAACTCCTTTGAGTTCGTCTGTCAGCCGGGCTACCGTATTCTCATGTGTCGCTACCATATCATCATAATTGTGGATGAGATGACCGAAGGATTCCACTGACTGCACGGCCTGAAGCATTGTAAGAGTTAGTCGACTGCAGCAATAATACAGGAAATAGGTTACAAAGGAATGTACCCGTCTCATGCAATTCTCGACTCTTGGGGCTGCCTCCACCTGAATGTCTGGACCTGAGACTCTAGGGTGGGTTGCACTTCACGAAAGTAGTGCCCGGTGGAAGATCCTTCGACTTTGCAAGATGAAAACAGGGGTCCTTGTCCGTGTACGTCTCTTTTAAGAGGTCGTCTGCTTTGAGGCCCCGTTCTTCAGGAGCAACCGTGGAGATGGGGGTCACGGTCGAATTAAACCTAACCAGCTTCAAGGCATCCTCCGCAAGACGAGGAGAAGGTCTCTTCTGCTTGGGCGCTGATATCGACGGGGGCTGCTGACCTGATGGTGGAGGATTCTTTGGGACCTCGGAGGAGGTGGCCTTCACTCCCTCGATTGCGGGAGAGGCTTGTTGAGGCAAGGGTGCAGCTCGAGACTCTGCAGAGTTACCAAAAGCAGTTCTTCTTCCCATCAGTTACAAATTACCTATAAAGAAAGAACCATTGGAAAATTAGTACTACTAGTCGAAGGGTATACCTCACTCAGAATTAGTAATTGCGTCACTCAAAGCGGCTATCTCGAGATAGTTGTATGACTCCGTCCACAATACCAACTTATCAAGGTCGGATTGTCTCCTGACCATGTTCGCCTTATCAACCGCGGATGAGGGATCCAATACCTTCTCATCTTCAAGTGCGTAATTTCAGGCAGGAAGGTCGGCAGGAGAAGAATTGACGTAGAAATATTCCACCTTCCACGTCTTATATTCATTCTTCCACGCTTGGATGCTTCGCTCCGCGAAGCTAACTCTTTCTTTGGCCTCTTCTGATTTTTCGTAAAGCTAAGCCAACTAGGGAAGTTTTTTGGTCCGCGGACCAACTTATGGAAACACCTAAAGAGAAAAACGTCGGAGACGATGTCCACCTTATGGCAAACATGAATCAACGCTAACACCGAAGTAATGAAATTCCGAGTGAGCTGTGCCAGAGGTAGTCCGTAGGCATCTAAAATTTCCCGGATTAGAGGAAGGAAGCGGAGATAGAGGCCATATTCAAAATATTTGGCATAGGCCGTAACTTTCCCAGACGGAGGGGTATTTGCCCGCTGACGCCCTTTGGAAGGGTCGGCTCGTATTCAGTCAAACTAAACTTCTCCTCCAAATGTTCTATATCCTTCTTCTTGAGAAGGCTACACACGTCCACGACCCTTGTAACATCCTTATCTCCGAGTTCTAAGATGCAGACAAAAGAAGAGATGAAAAAGAATAGTAGGGAAGACTTACTTGGGGGTCGTCTACGGATGAAACTTGAGAATCATCCTCGAACAATAGGTCGCTCGCAAGGATTGCCGGAAAAAGCCGCCGGAAGAGTTAAGTAGGAGAGAAGGAAGCAAAAGTGGGAGCAAAAGAAGTAAAGTTCTTCAAATGAGCCTGCTCGCCTTTTATAGCATTTCCCAAAGTAGGCGAACAGTTGCCTCGGTTCCCACTACGCCATCATTACACCGGTTGAAATTTCAGAGTGATCTGAGCCATCCCTTCGATCTGGACTGTTGATACTTCTCTCCTAAAAATTTTGAAAAGTTCCAGCTCCAAACCCTTAGTGTTGGTGGGCCTTTTGATGGGCTCTTGAAATGGTGTATCAAGCCCAAAATCACATAGCCCCGTTTGGGATTGACATGGGCTCTTGATGATGCCCATTCCCGATTAAGACCCAAAGAGGTTTTTGGGAAGGTGATTGGGCTATATGGAGAAGGTCTAAAAGCACATATCAATCTGGGACCAATATATGGGTCCCTCTTTTGGACACACTCTAAATAGTGTCTTATATATATCCCAAGATATTTATTTCAAAGAGTTAGGTCACACTCCTTACTCTCTCTCTAAGTGTGTATTAGATTATTTCCTCTCACTATACTGACTTTGTCATCAGAGTGCTAATCCTTGTCTTGCATGTCTCCGTCCTAGACGACCGTTGACTCGCTTCCATTGGGATTTGCCTTTGTCAGTAGGTGACATCAAAAATTTTATCACTCCTAGTTTAAAACCAAGAAAAAATGAAATTAAAAAAAATTGAAAAAGGGCCTCAATTTTTTAATTCGCTTTAGGCCCCTAAAGGGCTTGAGCCGACCCTGTGAGTCGTTTGCCAGAATGAGAAAATTTTTGTTGATTGTTAGATGGTTGTATGAAAAGTCAAAACTCTTTTTCTGAGAGATAATCAGACTTTTGCCATAATAGAAATCTTTGGGGATTGACTCAGAGGTGGCTTTCCTCTTTGTCTGGAATTTGTGGATCAATTGAAATTGTTTTGTGAAAGAACTCTTTGTCTGGAATTTGTGGATCAATTGAAATTGTTTTGTGAAAGAAAAAAATATTTTTGGTTCAATGGATTGATTTGTGAAAGAGTTATGGAGATTGTGGACATTCTTAGGAGAATCGAACCGGAGTGTAGGATTAATAGCGGAGAAGGAAGACATATTAGTGATTTGGGATAAATTTGGAGTTTAAACATGACACAACTACAATATTATGAATGAACATGATCAAGAAATTATGTTTCTTTTTAAAGAAAAAATAGTGAGCGGAAGCAATAAACCATGATTTTTTTTTTTTGAAGGTAAAAAAAAATTGAAAAAAAAAAGTAAGCAGAAACAGGAAAGAAACCATGATTTATTTTTTAAGGTGAAAAAAAAAACAGTATGCAGAAGCAGGAAAGAACCTGCTTTGATGCCAAGAAGAAAATAAGAAATTGATGAAAATAAATAAAGAGAAAGAAACTGAACGAAAATATTTTCTGGAGACTACATTGTGACTGACTAGCTTACAGATTGAAAGGGAGATGCTATATTTATAGGCATGTAAACACTATTGGATAAAAACTACTCTTAATAATTACTACATTAAAATAATCTTGATAATTACTAGACCAAATCTATCACTCTTGATAATTCTCCAGTAAATATTATCACTAAATTAAATCATTCCTCAACTACTATTAATTATTATCTTTAACCGTCCCTTCGAGAGGAACGGTCGTCGCCCATACGGGACTCCTCGGCTCGTCCACCAGTGTGGGATGTTCGGTCAGTATATTAGCATCTCGATCTTCCTAGAAACATTGAGAGCTCTTTCTCACCAACTCAGATTTAACTACGGGCCTCTGGCTAGTACCTTCCTCAGGTCTCGCCCTAGTGGAGACCATGACTCTCGTTGAGCGCTTGGGCTCGCCCTCGCACAAGTATAACCCTTCCCACAGTTGGCGTTACTTGACGAAGGCAAATCCCAATGGCGTTGAGTCGACGGTCCCTCTAGGTCAGAGATCTGCAAAACAAGGGTTAACACTCCAAAGGTTAAGTCAGTATAATGAGAGAAATTATGCACATTATGTAGAGAGAGAATAGTAAATGTACATTAATCCCTTGTAGTAAATGCATGGGACTATTGATAGATACACTATTTGATACGGTTCACGAAGTGAGGCCCTTTTACCATTGGACCATTAAAGAGAGTAGGGCTATGAGTCCAATAAACCCAAATGTATGAGTTTATAATCTGATAGAAAAATTATAAAAATATTTGAGTCTCATTACTTATTTCCTCCATCAATAACATTGGTGGTGTTGTGCTGTATAGGGTTTCTTTTGTGTCTATTTCAAGTGCTTAAGATGGAGGAAAGCTTATAAGTGGTAATTCCTTCTCTGGCTCTTTTGACGTATTTATAACAATGAATTCGACATACATATAGTTATAATGATCTATATTTCTTCAGTATCAAAATAAGAATTTTGTTTGTTAGTATATACTAAAGGACAAAATGCACTTTTGGTCCCTAAACTATGGGAGGTCACAACTTCTGGTCATCATTAATTTTTTACTGATAAAATTAGTCACCATATTTTTGTTTATCCAATAATTTTAGTCAATTTAACGGTCAACTAATGGGCAACTCTTTTCTCCGTTAAGTTTTTTAATTTTTATTTTTAATAAACTGGAACCTGCAATGTATTTTCAAACAACAAAATCAGTCCCCTAATATCTTTTTTTCAACAATTTTAGTCACTTTAATAGAATTTTTAAAAATTTAATGGCCCAATTCAATTTTCTTTGAAATTTTTATATTTTATTGATTACTTAATGGATGGTAGGTCCCACTGATCAGAATATTTTTAAAAAAAAAAAATTAAACAAATAATGAAAATATTTCCGTCCAACTTCCTAAACCCCAAATATTCTGCTCCCCGAAAAATAAATTCTAAAAAAAAAACAAAAACTGGGAACAAAAACGATTAATAATGAGGATCCTTTTCTGGACTACTTTGCCGGCAGAGAGGTGATGGTGAGACGTTCGAGAGCAGTATATTGGAGTTTAGGAAGTTGGTCGGAAGTACTTTCATTATTCTTTTAATTTATTTTTTTAAACAAAAAAAATCTGATCAAAGACTTGTGGGACCCACACTCCATTAAGTAATCAATAAAAAATAAAGATTTCAAGGAAAATTGAATTGGACCATTAAATTTTTTAAAATTATGTTAAAGTGGCTAAAATTATTGAAAAAAAAAAGATATTAGGAAACTGATTTTGTTGTTTGAAAATACATTGCGGGTCCAAGTTCAGTAAAAAATTAATAAAAATTAAAAATCTTAACGGAGAAAAGAGTTGACCTTTAGTTGACCGTTAAATTGACTAAAACTGTTGAATGAACGAAAAGATGGTGACTAATTTAATCAGTTAAAAATTAATGATGACCAGAAGTTGTGACTCGCCATAGTTGACGGACCACAAAGTGCATTTTGTCATATACTAAAATACTTTAACAATTATACATCTATTTTTTAAAACGACGGATGAAACATGACATGTTATTTGCAATCTGTTGTTTTCTTTTTGTTGCCGTGATAGCGTGAGAGGTTAATTATGATGAAATATGAAGGATGCTCTAAGAGAAACCCTGATCAGTTTCTTCGTGTTCTTATTTAACCCCAGTTATTATTGCTTTAAAACTCCTAAGACAATTCAACACTTCAATTTCGTAGATTAAAATGTTTCATAAACTGGCGCATGTTCGGAGATGAAAAGAACATAAATCCTCTCTAATTATTATTCCTATGGTACGTAAGATAATGTAATTGGGTGATTTTGTGTTTCATCTTTATCTATCAACAGTTATTTCCCGCAATGATTATTTTCCCTGTAATAATGTTCAACACTCTTTACTGTAGCACAAAATGATAAGAAACTCAAACGATGGAAGAAAGAACAAATTCAACAAGAAACTGTTTCTTATGAACATTGCTCAACTCCCAGTCAATCTGCCTTTGCAATGGGTGAGTAATGAGTGAGTGATATCGATCTCACACCTCTCAATTTTGCCTTCTTCTTTTTCCCTCACATATTTTTTATTTTTGCCTTATTTTATTGATCTCCTTATAAAACGTGTAGCAATTAGTTAAAAACTTCTTGGGCGCAACAAATTCAAGAGAAAGAACATATCTTATTACTTGTTAGCTTATGATCAACTTGAATTATTTGTGATTGTGTCCTCAAAAAACATCGAAGAAGCTACCGGTTGCAGGTACAATTTTTCTTTTCTTTTTTATTGATGAATAACTTATTTTAGCGTCCATTCCTCAGTGATACTTAATACTCCCTCCGTTCCACAAAAATAGTCTATATTGAGTTTTAAGTTTTGTACTGTTTTTAGTACAAATTTGAAAATTAAATGTGGACTAGTTTTTTTTGGGACGGAGAGAGTACAATTAAGAAAGGATGTAACACAGACGAAAATTGAGATGAAAATGGATTGTCATGCTTCGGAAAGCAAAATGCGAGATCTCTCTGATGATGGTCCAGTCTTTTTTTCATTTTCATCAGAGTTATTTCATTGTACGAATTCCCTAAAGGGATCATTTCTTTTTGTCGGTTTTAAAATGAAACGTTGAAATCTTCATAGCTCTCTATAATAACGATCAATGCAAAACCGGGCTTTTCGTATGGTGGCAGGAAATTGTCTAGTGAGCAGTTTGATATTAATTTGCTCCTTCAAGACGTGGAGGAGATGCAAATTTTGAGATTTTTTTTGCCAAGGAATTTCTGGAAAGAAGTAATGTGGATCTACTTCAACCTGGAAAAATTATGTGAACTCTGCATTAAGCAAGTTACAAGAGAATGCGCTGAAGACTCAAATTATAAACTGAAATTTGGGAAGTGACGAAGCAGAATTTTAGGAGCTCTTTGGAGTGATTCTCATGTTGTTTGTTGTTAGTCCAAGAGGGAATTGCAGAAGGATTTCTAAGAACACGGAAATTATCGAATAAGAGAACAAACAAAGATGGAGAATGCAGGTGATCATCAAGGAAAGATGGAGCATCCTCTCAACAAAATTAACTCCAGAAGCTAGCCATCCTCAAAACTCCTGACCATTTTCATTAACTGCAATTTAGATGGTCTTAAGGCTCCTAAACTAATCTTATAGTAATGAAATCATCAAATAAAAAATGCGTGACGGCCCTTGTAGTTTTCATGTAAGTTCTGCTCGTTTTGACTACATTAGAGAAAAAACCATCTAGTAGTATTCATTGGAGGGAGCAATTAGACATATATACATATATATATACTAGTCTTTTCGTCCCAAAAATAGAGAGTCGTGCTTGTTGAACCAAGAGTAAACCCGACTTTTAGTTTGTGTACAAACAGATAAGAGTACATGGGTATGTCACATTTCTTCCCTTCGCATAAATTATCGATCATCAACTAAGTCTGGCAATACTCATGAACCTCAACAAGAAACACACGCTTGTATAAGTTCACAACTGCTAATGGAACAAAGACATAAAAAGCATTAAATTTCCATCGAAGACACCAACTAGATCTTCAACAAGATTCATGAATTCTGGTAACTTTTTGCTCCTTCAAGTCGAAAATCTCAGGGAAAAAGAAAAAAGTTGCAAAACAGCCATTAACTTTGAAGAGTAATGAAGCAGTACTACAATTTGTGATACATTGCAGCTAGTTTATAGCTAGGAAAGATGACTAGAGAAGAAAAACCAACATCCTCTGCCACCCCTCCCATAACCATTTAATGCAAAGAAGACCAGTAAACAAACCAGTAAAAAGCTGGAAGAATTCTTTAAAGAGAAGAGTAAAACTTGTTTTGAACTTAAATGCTTCAACTTCCCTGGTAGCTAAAGTAGTTGAAGTATTCAATGCAACTTCTTTAATGCAAAAAAAAAAAAAAAAAACAACATTAGTTGAATTCCTTTCTCCTCCTTTTTATTCTCACATGAAGACTAGTTTTTTTTTTTGAGATCACATTACCTTCCCCTTTGTCCCAGCTAAAATCTCTTCCCACATTCTCCTTGTGCCCCTTTGCAAACGTCTCTTTCACATCCTTTTTTTCTCCCCTTTCTTCTTCTTCTTCTTCTTCTTCTTCTTCTTCAATTCCTCTGTTTCAATTCATATAATCCTCTGTTTTTAATGATAAAAAGGAGTTTAAAGGGATGCCCTTCTAGTGCATTGTTAATTTAGTGTTAACATCGGTTAGATATTACATTTTTTTGGGCATTTTGCTTGCTCTATTTATACTGAATGTTGTTGATTAATACGATTTTTTTTGACATAAAACATGCTTATAGTAATTCACTATGAAAAGGTTGATATGATATGAGGTGATGGACTAATGGGGAGGATGTTTTGGTTACGACTTATGTAAAGAGCCAAACTTTGTAAACGAGATATTGGTGCGGTTCAATGACAAAGTTGTGTTCGTAATGTTAGGACACAACTTTTTGATTGAGCCGTGCCAATATCACGTACTATATTTTGTGGCTCTCAATAAGGCTAGTTACATGATTCCTCCTCCTAAGTCCTAAGTTTTGCTTAATTCTCTCAGTGTCATACGTATATCGTATTTCATTTGTAAACATTGATTTTCAACAGAACCAACAGTTTTCTTTTCCTTGTAAATGAGTAAATGACCTTGATATTCTCAATATAGCAGCATTAGGATGGAATTTATTTAAGATATATAAATCACAATGCAGATTTGCAAAGTTAGGAGTACTATGTATGATTTGCAAAGTTACTGACCATAATGCACATTTTTGCAGAAATCATTTGTTACATAATATGAAGGTTTGCAGGACACCTGTGAAGCAAAAAATGGACATGAAGCAAGAATCCCGCTGGGCAGGCTGCAACAATTTAATCTTAACCAGCCGGGTCCACCATTGTTTTATACATATGTTGTTTCCTGTACTCACTCTTTTAAGTAGTATCAATTTGCAATTTGAATTAATAATAATAAAAATAATTAGGGAGACTAATTAAATCTTAAATATTGTTGTGACTTGTATAAGGACAGAAATTACTAATGCCATCTTTCTATATTCACGCCATTCATTGTTGCATTTCGCCTTTACATTCAATCTGTCGCTCATTTTGTTGTATTTATTTAAGAAAATTAATGATAGATAGTATCACATGATATATAACCGCTTAAAGAGTTGTTCATATGAAATTTTTTGTTGATCTTAAAACTCCAGCTTAAGTTGTCATCCAAATTCTTCATCTGGTGGATAGTTTGATGAATTTGGTTTAGTCATTTCCTCTGCACTGTGAGTTTTTTTTTTTTTTTTTTGTTTAGGATCTGAAAATCTTGTTAACTGTTAAGAATGAACGAATCCAAATACTTACGAGATTGTGTTAATTTTAATATCTACCCTTGTATTAACTTAAAATTGGTACTAATTTATTGTGTACATGACATTTTTCAAAAAAATAAAATAAAATAAAATAAAATAAATAATAAAGCGACCTTCCTTTACTTAATGAACCCTATTAGTATGATTGATAAATGAGAAAGTGATCTTCACTCACAATAAATATTTGACTAGCTAGCTATATAGTAGGAGAAACTTTGTTACTCCACATTTTGTCTATTTTGTTAGACTATTTTCTAAGTTGGGAGTGAGTATTAAGCACAATTGTAAAGTTTGCAAACTGCAAATTGGCAATTTATGAAGTTTGCAATACATCTGACTAATTTTACTCATTCTAAAAGCAAGCAAAACTAAGCCAACAAACAAAAGCTTGCACTTATTGATTTCTTATCTACCTTTGAACTGTGACTTAGCAAGTTACAATTCTCAATGAAGCATCCCTTACACAGTAAAAATGAGTTGCGAAAGCCATTTACTGCTATCTTTCACTGCTTTGCAGCCACCTTCTCTGCTAAAATGGAGGTGGTTTGTATAGCGAGGCTTCCCCTCTTCTCCCTCTCTTTCTCTGTCTCTCATGTATATGACATTCTGTACTCTGTATTTTCTTTGCTTAAAATGAAAGAATAGCACCAAATGGCGCTTTCCTGTTTCGAACTACCTTCCTGAGATTGGAAGTACGGGGTGATTCTTAAAAAGTAGCAGTCAATATTGCGTTTTCAGCTTCCCCACATCGACGATGAACCTCTTTGATTCTGTCAACAGACCTACAAATCCCACTGCAGCTCCAATCAAAAGAGGCAACACATATGTTGCCTGCCTGTGCCTTCCATTCACAATCTGCGCAAATAGAAGACCTTTGGTCAGAATGAAGAAAGATGTTGAACAAATACAATGCAATGGTGAACTTCTATTTCCCATTGAATTCTAATGTGAGATGGTCTCAACATGAGAAAAGCTAGTTGTATTCAACAAATCGAAGAAGTTACAAAAAGGATTGGAGACCGAATCCAGCTCAAAGGAACACTATACCAACATCTGTGCCATCACTATCCCCACAATCAATAATTAAGAAAGGAGGAATAATGCAGTTCCTGGAACCCACAAGTTCAGAATTTATGCATGAACATGTGATTCATAAGATAGCAGCATATTGAAGTAGCTGTCGTTGTCCCAAAAGGATAGTTAGGTAATAATTTTACTGCCAATAGACTCCAATCCACAAGGGGAAAAGCAAATAACCTTCTTTCTTCCCATGTCTAATTATTTTCCCTCAGTTGTGATTACTGCCATTTATTTCTTATTATAAGCTGTAAGAGGCAATGTCAAGATGCCGGCTTTAAAAGAAAGAATCACTTTCTTTATATGAATTTTACCAGTTACAAGGAACATCCTAATGAAACAAAGAAATTAAAAGGCTGTCATATCCAGGTTGGACGCCCAATTGTGTAATTCAAATATTATTAACATTGAATAACTTCCACTCTTCAGCATGATCTGAAAGCAGTACAATTCACATTATACATCTAAAAACCAACTAAAAAAATTTCATACCAGGCGGGGTGCCACAGCATAATCTTCGATCATCAATATGTTGTACATCCAGCCCAATGAACCAAGCTCCCAGTGAGACATCTTCATTAGCATACTTGTGTAGTACATGTCTGCAAGAATTATGCTAACTGTCAGTATTGGAACATGTAGAAACAGCTGTGATTCTGGATGACAGTCCTTTTAGGAATGCTAATCAGGAAGCACTCAACTGGTTTTGAGAAATATAAGAGGCCAGATCTTTTGAAATGGCATATAATTGTCCTGTAGCATGACGGAAATACTTGTTCCCGGTCTCTCCAAATTTCCAATATTCTGGCTCATGATATCTTACTCCCCTGTTCAAGTGAATTCGATTAGTCTTCAAACAGTTAAAGGTAAAACTTCATTTACAGTGTAGTTATAGATTATATGCATACTTCTGAGCAAGAACTGGTCCAGATTTCATGCAGCCAATGTATACCCTTGGCTTCTTCCTATGCCTCGCTAATGTCTCCCCGAGTGTTGCTGCAACAAATTGAAGAAATAACAGAAATATGTCAATGCAGGACAGAATGTTTAAGGAGAACCCAGCAGCATTTCTAATGACACCAAATTAGATTCTGCAATAATCTCAAGTTAATCTCTAAGTATTCTTTTAATTCCATTGCGTGCCCCGGGAGGGACCTCTATTTATCTATAAAACCCTATGTGGAAAAATTTCTTCAATAATACAATATTATACAAGGGTGGCAAAGGAGAAAAATTTTCGAGAACATGAGACCAACCACAGCCAGTTTTGGAGGCAGAATACAGCACCTACTTTACCATATATGAATCTTTGATATTCTTCCCCTCCCAGAGGCCAGAGCATTTTCCCAGTGGCCCATAACTGACCCAAACATCCACTATATCGAAATATTGTGAAGAACAAACTGCCTACTCAGTTCTAAGCAAACAAAGCCTAAAAACAGATGCAACCAAATGTAAAAGTAGATGAAATATAGATCATCAGTATCTCAGTTGGTAAGTAAATATAGCCCTTCTTCAGTTACCTATATTTACATGGACGTCATCATCAACTTTGACATAATACTCCGCATCCCACATGGAAACTGCTGTAGCAAAATATGATTTTGTCTTCGCAGACAATTCAAGATACCCCTCAACATGATCCTGCTCAGATGAAAGAAAATGAATGTCTTAGACAAATGACATTTCATGAGTTCTCTGTTTCAGTAGTTGCAAAAAGACTAGCTGAATTTTACCAGCCTCAGAAAATCTCCATGTTTTTTGTTCTCAGCTTCGATAGCTCTGTCCAGTATACCTCCCACAGTTGCACTGCATTAAGCAGAAAAATATGTTCACAGAAACGAAAGGGAATTGCGGCAACGCAATCGACTATATGCATCCACAGAAGACTAGAGCAATTTCAAACTGCTTGTATTTTTGTTTCTTTCACCAACAATATAGCACAACAGATTTTGGATGTAATCCAGCAAATGTTTACAACATAAACACAATTTTAGACACATAACATAGAGTTGTTCCAATTCGCACATGTTTGTTTCCGAGACCAAAAAACAAATGTGGAGCATAACTTTTACATTGAACTTTCGAGGACTAAAAGGTGATGAATTCTCTGTAGCTGGGAATTCAAAAAAATCACAAAAAGAAAATAATTATTTCATCCTACCCTAATGTAAAATATGAACAAAGATGAGAATGTTTCATTTATCTCCAAAGTCCAATCTCAGAAGCAACAGCTGGACACCGCAAAGTATTATGATGCTAGTTGAATAGTTGACACTATTGTTAGGATTTACCTGTGACCAATAACAAAACGAATGATGACTCCTTTTTCTTCTAATTTCCTTCTTCTCTCCCCTAAAGCAACATTGAACAAGGTATTTCATCAACAACCATTTCAAGAAAAGTAACGGAAGAATGACTCAATCTAATGAAACAGCCAAATAGAAATGTAAGGAGACCTTGGGGCATCCATGTAGCACGGACCGAATCTCTTCTTTTTCGACTGCTAAATGCGGTATTAATTCCCACAACCATAAAGTATTTTTTTCTAACAGGAATTCCGGTCTTCTCCATGTCTTCAGATAATGGAGACCCACTGAGAATTGACTCTTGCGCTGCCTTAGCTGCTGCTAATTCCATCTCCAAATTAGAAATTGTTTTGTCCAATGTCCTATTCCATTTGAAAAAAAAAAAAGAAAAAAAAAAAAGAAAACAAGGAACTCATTAAGGAGGCCAAAGAAAGTTCTTCGATCAATTAGAAAACAAATGGAAAGATAAACTCACAGTAAAGCATCCTGAGATTTTTGAACTTCCCCTAAAATGTTCTTAGATTCCCTTTTCACATATTTTTGCTGCAACTAGAAGATACCCGTACGGAGTTAAAACAAGGAATATTTCTAAATTAAACAAGAACTGGATCACCAAAGAGTGGCTGACACTCACAAATTTAGGATTACAGCCCTCTGAAACTAACTTTAGGCTTTCTCCTTCTCCTACTGTACTCCTTGAAATACCTTTGGATTCCGGCAATACCCACATTCTGCAAACAAATGCATTCATTACAGTGAGTTCATCGTACACTAGTTCAAATATGCAAATTTGGAAAAGATACACAGATAAATGTTACAATGGATACAAAGACCTGAAAAGGAAGAAGGAAAAAAGGAGAAGATTGCATTTGCAAATTTGGAACACATAATGGAAAGAAACAAAGCATCAAACAGAGGGGGGGAAAAAAGCCCAGAAGAAAAGAACTCCTCGGAAGAGAAAGGGAATAAAATAATAGCCCCCACCCCACCGCATAGATCTAGAACTCTTTCATTAGCCAATAAACTTCCTCGGAAGGTGATGTCACGACATTGAGTACGCACCGCACCGCAAAATCAAGAGATGACACAATAGTAAATCTGATTGTGAAACAATGACAAAATATGAACTGAAATCATCTTCCATTGATGGTTTCAACATAAAAAGATGATGATGATTCAACACTTCCATAGTCACCCAAAACATTTCATGTAACGCAAAACTGACAACGATATAAACAGTAAATAATCACAAAACGTGAAATCATACAAAATTTCTGGAGATGAAGAAAATTCCACAAATGTTTAGATTATTATCATCAATGGATTCAACAGGGTAATAGAGAGAAAAAAAAAAGAAGAAAAGAAACTGTCAGTTTTGAAAGACAGAGAGAAGATTATAAATTTCAGTTATGATAAAAAAAAAATAAGATTCACATATTACCTATTAGTAAAGAGCATCCCAACACAAAAACTACCAATACAAAGAAAAAGAGCCCATTTTTGAGATATAACACTACTTCTTGATGGCTGCTCTCCACCCCCACCTCCACCTCCACCTCTGCTTTTGAAAGACATATTCTTGTAGTACAAAATTATCTCAAGGCTCACTCAACCCAAATCAATTTCAACAAAAACCCATTCCCAAATTTAGGAAGAAGAAGGCTAAAATTCAATAATCACAATGAAAACAACCCTGAATGATCAGAATTCGGCCCAGAAGAAAACAACCCAAGAAACAGGACAAGAGGGGGAAGAAAAAAAGAGACAGTCTTTGAAACTGTTGAATTCAAAGAACAAAAAAAGAAAAAGAAAATGATTAGTTTTCACTTGAGAATGTTTGGGTTTGTTTCTATATTTTTTATATGAATTTTATGCTTTGCTTTGGTGTTGTCCTTTCTTTCTTTCCCACACAACAGCAGCAGAGCAGTGCACACTTTGCAGGGAAGGGACTTGTAACAGAAGTGAAGGGCAGACTTGCCAACTGCCCCTCCCTTTCTTTCTTCTTCTTCTCTCTTTTTCTATTTTTACCAAACAGTCCCTTTCTGGACCGACCTTATTTAAATCATTTTTTCATTTTTTTTATTTCTCTTTTTTCACTAAACCAGACAAAAATACATTTTTGTCCTCATCATCTTCACCTAGCCAGGACAAAACTATTTTCATTTTTACTGCCTGAATGCACGGTAACTTTCTGGTCACGAGCATGAATTTGTTTTGCCGCAAAATAATGGTTATTCATAAAAATGCATGTGTTACAAGCCTAACTCATGTTTCTAATTCTCTTTTGACCCTCTTTCTCCTTTTTTTTTTCCCATTTCTTTTTCGGTCCTAATTGGTTATTGCTAACAACAACCACTTGCAGCCATTCACTAACAACTTGTGTTGCATTTAGATCGTTGTATGATTAGCCGGATTCCGGTCAAGTAAGCCAACCACGGTCCACGGCATAGGCCCGCGGTGCTAAAGTGTTGGAGGAAGAGGAATCAAACATGGATTATGTGTAGCTTAATTTCATAGTTACTAACATATGGTAATAGCAAGCTACGTTAGTAATTTATTATTTATTTCTATATTCTACCCGTCCCCTATAAATAATGATATATTTTGTTAAATAAAATTTCTTTTTTAACTTGAAAAAGTGAATTATTTTATTAAAACGTAGTAGCTATATGATTTTTTACTTCGTCGTTGTCCATGACATGTACGAAAGATAACATTAAAAATGGGAAAGAACATGGCAAAGTATTAACACCAAGGAGGGGTTGACCATGCTTATATGTGGTCCAACTGAGAGTAGAGAAGCATGTTACATAATGAAAAGTAAATTCAATTGTGTGCTTATTATGTTCACATGTACTAACTAGGTCTCCATCTTTCATAAAAATTGGCAACATTGAATTCAATTCCTCATCAATAACATGACCAACAAACATTCTTGGATCACAACTCTTGCATTAGCCTCTATAGTACTAGATGGGCTGTTCGTAAATTAAATATTACATGTTGATTACTCTGATCCAAAACGATTATTTTATTTGTTCTACTAAAATGGTACAATAAATACGAGTGTTATTTTAGGACGAGAGAAAGTAGAGTAATTCACGGTTCGTATTCAAATTGATTGATTTAATTTGTTACTCAAATGTAGCTAACAATTGGCTGATATTGGAAGTTTTTCTGTCTGCGGTTGATGAGTGGACATAATTAAATTAATTTAATTACAATAGAATGATTAGTGATGGGTCTTAGGTTTTTCTGGCCAAGAGGAAGAGTGGGTTGTTAAACAAATGCAGTTGACTTTCCCCTTTATAAGTTGACTGCTGACTCTTAGGGCTCATTATGTCACTAATCATCAAAACATAATTAGGTAGTAGTAAATGAATATTGTGAGTTGACATTTTAGAAAGGACCTTCTCCTAATACTCATAGTAATTACTAATTAGATGATTAATTTTTTTATTCAATTTCTACCATAATTTTTATAATTATTATAAACTGTTGGTCTAACAATGCTAATGTATTTTAATTTAATAGTATAATACTACTAGCACATTGGAGTAAACCTTGCAATAAACAAGAAAAAAACTTGACTTCTTCGAGAGAATGACATGGTTTTTTTTTTTTAAGAAAGAATCACTAAAATAACTTGACTTCTTCAATTATTTTGATGCTTCGTGCGTTATTTTTCTCTCCTTAAAAGAGATTCCATTGTAAACAGTCCTGCTGAGCTCTCCTTGTTGGATCAATAAAGATTCCAGTAATAATGGAAACTATGTGATCGGGGAAGAAGTCCTTTAATGCTCGAATTCTCCAATGACCTGATGGAGTAATAAACCGATCAACTCTCATATTTGTTGTTGATAACACAGATTGAGGGGAGATCGGGTTAGAAACTCCTGGAATCCAGTTTGGCGAAAGGAGAGTGTTCTTGCCAAAGATGATTTTGGACCTCAGGTTTCTTTGTAATAGTTCAGCACCCCAAAGAATACTACAAAATCACCAAGAAGGAGTTGTTGGCATGTCTGCAGGCGGGAAGACTCCATTCAGACAGTATTTAGCACAGAAAAATTTTGCCAAAAGAAATTGTAGTTCTGTCATGATCTTCCAAGCATGTTTTGCCAAGGAATTCAATCAAGCCTGGTTGGCAAAATAATTTAACTTATAACCGAATGAGATGTAATAGTATAGGTACTTTAACTTAAATAATGTAGGTACTTTTTTTTAAAAAAAAAAAAAAAGAAGAAGAAGATGGGTATGGGTCACATTCTAATTTAAAGTTTTTATTTTTTATATTTTATATACACATGTTTCGGAGAATGACAATAACAAGTTACAAGTCTCTTTGAATTCTCTATCAATCCCTTACACCAATTGTTGTTACTCGTCTTCTTCTTCTACATAACAATTCACTTTGTTAAAGTATTCTACTATGTTAAATACTATCCAGTCATTCTTCTTTCCTTCTATATTATTCTTTTTACTTTTGTAGGGAAAAAGGGAAATGGTTGCTACAATTTGTAACTGGTAGAATATATAAAAATAGGCCGGGAATCTCTTCATCCTTTAACTCTAGTTAGAGTTTGAAATAGTCACAGTAGAGCAATTTTAATTTTCTTTTATAAGCTATAACACCATCTATATATGTATGATTTAATAAATAAATTTGTTATTATACCAACGATAAACACCATGTAAAAAAAAAAGAGAATATTATGCACATATGATCTTCTACTGAGTTCCTAATGTCCTTGCAATAGGGGTAACCACTACAAAATGAATAAATTCTTTACTCTTTTTTCTTTAAAGAATAAATGGATAACTTCAAAAAGGGGAAAACGACTAGAGAGAAAAGTAATTAAACAAAGAAGTGGAAGGACAAAAGGGAGAAATAAAAAAAACTAAAGGGGGGAATTACTAGAATGTAAAAGAAATTCGTAGGGATCCTCGAATATAAGAGGAAAAGGGGTTAAATTGAAAAGGAGATTTCATCAGCAATTGAGCATCAAATGATTAACGGCACGTGATCATCCAACTGTGGTAGAAATGGAACAATAGGATGACACGTGATCACTTCTGAATTCCTTATCAAACGTGTCGATCTATCATCAATTACGTACGTACCTGAGCTGCCCTTTTATTCATTGGGGGTGTTCAATTTTTGGGTGAATTATATTCACCTCCCTCAAGGTTTGTGTGAATTATCGTCCTCCGTAAACTTTCTTGTTAAAATTATTTAATTAGATTTTAAAATTTTAGTTGGTGTACTATAGATACTTAATATTCTCAATGTTGAAGATTCTTATCGTGATATTTTTTATTTTATTTTTGTATCACAATTATATCTTTATTAAAATTATTAGTTTATGATGAAAATTAAAATAAGTTAGCCTTGATCTGAAAAGAAATGAACCATTAAATAAAAATACATTACTATAGAAATGAATATAAATGGTGGAAATATTCGCACAAATGCCACAATTTATGCTAAGATATTGAATTGGGTAATATCGAATATTGTAAGAAAATGACACATAAAATCAGGTTTTGGTGTGTATATGTTAATGAACAACCCCTGTAACCTAGACTCACGATCGATGTTGTTACAATTTGAATAATATAATTACATTAAATTCGTGATTTTTGTGTTTATCGTATGTCTTACATCATATATCCACTTTTTTAATTGGGAAACAATTGACACAATTAATATATTGGCAGGCTATGAAAATATATGGGTGGTTTAGTAATTCTGATAAACCTTGGTCTGTGTGTATGCAATTCATCCTTTTTCTTTTGTTTCCTATTTAGTTTGTTTATCTATGGTTTTTTTTTTTTTTTTGAACCCTTTTTCTATTGGTTTGATTGATTATGAAGGCTTTAAAACTTCTTTGTAGAGTGATGGAGTGACAGACTCCATGCTTTCCCACGTGGAAGCTTTGTAGATTTCTGGCACGAAGTTTTGGGACCCACCTCACGAGCTTCCATTCTGGTCACCCATTCATCTCTTCGTTAGTTCCAGCTTTCAATTTGTAATCATTGACAAAAATTGTTTACAAATAATAAACTAATAATTTACAGAAATTAATTTTTTAAAAGAAAAATATGCCAATCATTTTGAAGACTCCAGTGTCATATATCCACGTGATGTTAGTTCAAGGAAGAAGATATTTGGCGTTGGAAATACATATTCAGAATTGCTTTGAGTTAGTATATATATACATGGAAATCAAATATTAAAGGTGAAAACCGAATTGTTGGGATATGAAATTGCTAGTGTTATGCTCCGAATAACGTATTCTAAATTTCTAACAACCTACTTTTTCAGTGGATTTTGTTTTGGTACCACGAAAATAAGGCTTTGTATGTTTTCTTTTTTAGTTAGTTTTTTTAGAATTAAATAATAATAACTGTTTTATCCCATCATATCTTTTTTTTATTTTTAATACATCTTTTTATATCCCCTATACAAAAAACACATAAAAACACACACTAAAAAAACGAAACAAACATACAGCTTTCAACTAAGTTCAACTGATCATGTCAAGCAATCAAACCATGATGTCATTGAAGTTTTC